TCTCGCACCGGTCTCCTGGTTCTGCTGCTGCTGTTTCTCAGCCACCACTGCTTACTGTCTCATGACATATCCAGTGTTACAGCTGTCTGTCTCCTGGGTCTAGGAGGTTCTCAGCCCAGGGAGCCGCGTCCAAAGGACGTGCTCCACTCCTAGCTGTTCTTTGTTAGTAGTAGCGAGGTTCTGTCTCTGCTCTGGAATTGGCTCTCTTTTAAGCCTAGCCAGTGGCAAAACTACCAATCCCCTCGTTAGGATCCCACCTCCACTGGGTGTCCATGCCCTTATTTGCATTATTAGCAAGCTGTCAAATCCCCTGGTGGTCTACAACTACCTTATTTGCATAGTCCCACCCAGTAGTTTTGTAGGAGTCAAAAGAACAGGGTGAGAAAAGCCATGTAAAAGTGATACATTGTACCACAGAGGAAAAAGCAATATTTATTTTGGGGGAGGATGGCAACTTAAAACTGAGGACCATTTGGTTATGGAAAACAAGTAACTGTTTGGGAAGATATTTTGGAACTCGTCTGCTGGATTCTTGTTGAAGTGGACACTATGTATATACAGGCCTCTAACTTTATTTATTTTGTTTTAGGTGAAAATTTACAATGCAAATTAGTTTGTCATTCAAAAATTTATATACAAATTGTTTTGTGACATTGCTTGCAATCCCCGCAATGTGTCAGCACTCTCCTCTTTTCCCTTTCCACCTGATTCCCCGTGTCTATTCTGTCTAGTTTTCCTGTCCTGTCCTGCTTTCTTGCCTTTGCTTTTGGGCAGGTGTTGCCCATTAGGTCTCCTATACTTGATTGAACTAAGAAGCATGTACCTCATGTGTGTTATTGTTTGTTTTATAGGCCTGTCTAATCTTTGGCTGAAAGGCAGACTTCGGAAGTGGCTTCAGTTCTGAGTTAGCAGGGTGTCTGGGGCTGTAGTCTCGGGGGTTTCTCCAGTCTCTGTCAGACCAGTAAGTCTGGTCTTTTTTTGTAAATTTGAATTTTGTTCTACCTTTTTCTCCTGCTCTGTCGGGGACCCTCTATTGTGATCCCTATCAGAGCCATCAGGGGTGGTAGCCAGGCACCACCATCTAGTTCCTCTGGGCTTAGGCCGGTGGAGGCTGTGGTTCATATGGTCCATTGGTCCTTTGGACTAATATTCCCCCTGTGTTGTTGGTTTTCTTCATTCTCCTTTGCTGCAGTGGGATTGGACCAATACATGTATCTTAGATGGCTGCTCATAAGCTTTTAAGATCCCAGATGCTACTCACCAAAGTTGGATGTAGAACATTTTCTTTATGAACTATGTTATGCCAGTTGACCTAGATGTCCCCGGAGACCATGATCCCCAGTCCTCAGCCCCAGTCACTTGGTCCTTCAGTGTGTTTGGATGTGTCTGGGAAGGTTCTATAGCTTTGTCTTGGTCAAGTTGTGCTGATTTCCCCAGTATTGTATATTGTCTTTCCCTTCGCTAGAGTTAACACTTGTTTGCTATCTAGTTAGTGATTTTCTCTCCCCAACCTTCCCCTCCTTTGTAACCATCAAAGATTTTTTTTTTCTATGTGTAAACCTTTTATTGGGTTTTTATAATAGTGATTTGCCCTTTTGTGGTTGACTTATTTCACTCAGCATAATGCTGTCCAGATTCATCCGTGTTGTGAGATGTTTCGCTGATTAATTGTTGTTTATCATTGTGTAGTGTTCCATTGTAAGTGTGTACCATAATTTGTTTATCCATTCATCTGTTGATGGGCACTTAGGTTGTTTCAGTCTTTTTGCTGTTGTGAATAATGCTGCAATGAACATGGATGTACACGTCTATTCATGTGATGGTGCTCATTTCTGTAGGATATATTCTTAGGAGTGGAATTGCTGGATCACACGGTATTTCTAGCTTTTTAAGGAGGCACCATATTGTTTCCTGTTATCAGGAGGGACCAGTCCCTGAAGAAGGTCATCATGCTTGATAGAGTAGAGGGTCAGCAAAAAAGAGGAAGACCTTCAGCGAGATGGATTGACACAGTGGCTGCAACAGTGGACTCAAGCATAACAACGATTGTGAGGATGACACAGGACCAGGCAGTGTTTCATTCTGTTGTACATAGGGTTGCTATGAGTCAGAACCAACTCAACGGCACCTAACAAAAACTATATATCATTTTCCATAGTGGTTGTACCATTTTGCATTCCTACCACCAGTGCATGAGTTCCAGTTTCCCCGCAATCCCTCCGACATGTATTCTTTTCTTTTCTTTTCTTTTTAATTAGTGCCAGTAATGTTGGGGTGAGATGGTATCTCACTGTAGTTTTGATTTGCATTTCCCTGATGGCTAATGATCACAAGCATTTCCTCATGTGTCCGTTAGCCACCTGAATGTCTTCTTTGGTTAAGTGTCTGTTCAGGTCCTTTGCCCATTTCTAAATTGGATTATTTATTTTTTTGTTATTGAGGTGTTGAAGTAGTCTATAGATTTTAGAGATTAGACCCTTGTTAGAGATGTCATAGCCAAAATTTTTTTCCCCAGTCTCTAGGTTCTCTTTTCACTCTTCAGGTGAAATGTTTTTATGAGCATAAGTATTTAATTTTTAGGAGCTCCAAGTTATTTAGTTTATGTTCTGGTGTTGGTGCATTGTTAGTAATGGTTTCTGTTCTGTTTATTCCATATATCCTAATACATGACCTTTATCAATTTAGGTTTTACATTTAGGTCTTTAATCCATTTTGAGTTAGTTTTTGTGTGTGGTGTGAGGTATGGGTCCTGTTTCATTTTGTTACAGGTGGACATCTAGTTTTGCCAGCACTAATTGTTAAAAAGACTGTCTTTTCCACATTTAATGGATTTTGGGCCTTTGTCAAAGATCAGCTGACTGTAGGTAGATGGATTTACGTCTGATTCTCAATTCTGTCCATTGGTCTGTGTGTCTGTCGTCGTACCAGTACCAGGCTGTTTTGACTATCGTGGTTGTATAGTAGGTACTGAGATCACATAGTGTGAGGCCTCCTACTTTGTTCTTTTTCTTCAATAATGTTTTGCTTATCTGGGGCCTCTTTCCTTTCCATATGAAGCTGGTGATTAGTTTTCCTATTGCATTAAAGAATGCTGTTGGTGTTTGGATCAGGATTGCATTGTATTTGTAGATTGCTTTGGGTAGAATTGACATTTTCACGATGTTGAGTCTTCCTATCCATGAACATTGTATGTTTTTCCTTTTTTTTTTTTTTTTGTAGGTCTTTTTTCTTTTTTTACAATAGTGTTTTGTAGTTTTCTTTGTATAGGTCTTTTATGTCCCTGGTTAGATTTATTCTTAAGTATTTCATCTTTTTAGGGGTTATTATAAATGGTATTACTTTTCTGAAGTTCTCTTTGTTGATATATAGGAATCCAACTGATTTTTCTGTGTTGATCTTGTATCCTGCTACTCTGCTGAATCTTTCTGTTAGTTCCAATAGTTTTCATGTGGAATCTTTGGAGTTCTCTCTATATAGCTGTAACTTTTTTTTTTTTTTTTTCCTGTGATTCTTAATGTTGAATTAGTAAAAACCACAGCTTCTGAGACTTGCTAATTGGTCAGTGAAAATCCTAAACTGTGCCAGGAGTTTCTACACCTGTTGGTGTTTAGAATGCTTAAATGGAGTTTGACCTTGTCTGAATCCATTCACTGTTGTGAAAATCTTTATCATCATTTTCACCTTACACTGTTGTGAAAATCTTTATCATCCTTTTCACGGAATAGCCTTTTCAATACCTTGTTTATTTTGAGCCTCAGGATAAGGTAAATGTTTTCTTTATGTAGGTGAAAAATCACAATTAAGTGACTGTAACTTAGCTGTGACTAAAGTAGAATTAGAATTCACATCTCTTGATTCTTAGTTTAGTAGTCTTTGTTTCACAGATTCTAATCCAGGGTATGTCCTTAACTAAATGTTTGGACAGTTTTGCTAGCTATTAATTTTCCCATCTATAAAATGAGAGGGTTTAAGTAGATGGTCTCTTTTCTTCCAATGTGAATTCAGTTGTAAAGTATCATTATGTGTTATGAGGTTGGAATCTCACAAAGTGATCCGACCACTCTTGTCACACATATAGTGAGTTGAGTATTAGAATCTGTGCACATGCAAGTCATTCTTTGACTGAGGGTATCTCCTACTACATTGTGAGCTCCAGAAGGGCAGAAATCTTCCCTGTCTTGTTTACTATTGTATTTTCAGTGTTTATCTAGTCCAGTGCCTGTAATGTGGTAAGTGCTGAATGAATGAATGGTTAAATAAGTGATAATGTCAGTATGGATGGAGGCAGCATAGTATTGTAGAAAGCAATTACACTCTTTATGTTTTCCTTACTTTAGATCATAGGATATAATATTTCAGAGGTTGTTAGGAAGGTTTTATATACTCGTTGCCGTGGAGTCAATTCCGAGACATAGCAACCCTATAGGACAGAGTAAAACTGCCCCATAGGGTTTCCAAGCAGCAGCTGGTGAATTTGAACTGTTGACCTTTTAGTTAGCAGCCAAGCTCTTAACCACTGCATCACCAGGGCTCCACATATATATATGTATACGTATATACACATATACACACACACAAAGTATAATGCCTTCTACTTAAAATGTTAGTTTCTCGTTTCAGTCCCGTAGAGACCTAGGATTTTTTTGTTTGTTTTTTAACCAAGAGATTTTTATTATATAAGCAAGCATATTTTCTCCAATTGTAAATATTTTTTACCTCCTCTGTAATATGAGTGTTGTTGTTGCTGGCTGCTGTTGAGTCAGCTCCTGACTTATGGTGACCCTGTGTGTTACAGAGTACAACTGCTCCACAGGGTTTTCTTGGCTGGAATCTTCATGGAAGCAGTTCACCAGACCTCTCTTCTGCAGAGCTGCTGGATGGGTTTGAACCACCAGCCTTTGGGTTAGCAGCCAATCGCAAATCGCTTGTGCCACCCAGGTTCCTATAATATGAATATGCTAGATTTAATTTTAATCATCCTTGTTATTTTTCTCCTATAGTTTTACATGTGGCACCCATAAAAGATGAGGCTGAGAACACGGAAGGCTTCTCAGCAATCAAATCAACTCCAAACACAACGTACTGCCAGAGCAAAGAGGAAATATTCAGAGGTTGATGATAGCCTACCTTCAGGAGGAGAAAAACCACCGAAGAATGAAACCGGCTTGTTGTCTTCAATTAAAAAATTCATCAAAGGAAGCACACCTAAGGTAGTGGTTTTATCTTGTACTTATATCATTAAAAGTGAAGCGTAGATTGTTTTGTCTAAGCATGTAAAGATGAGAAATCTGATGTTGCTAGATCCCACTTTAAGAGGATATGTATTTTGGTGTTATTTTACTTTTAAAACTATTATGTGCCAAATTTTTAATGGCAGTTCAAGAAAAACATTTTTTATTCCACTTAAACTTACCCACTTAGCCTTTTGATTTTTAGCAGTGTTATGGGAAGCAGAAGAAAATTTTTCTTACTCTTTTTCTTGAGTCCCTTTTACTTCATTTTCTTTTATTTTAAAAAAAAAAAGTTTGTTTCTTGATAATATTATTTACTACCTAAGTAAGGAGATAATTTATCTGAATTGTTAAGTTTGTACAATAAAAATGTATTACTTCATTAAAAAGACATCAAAGTTATTAAAGAAAGAATGAATAATAATAGCCAGGAGTCAGATGCCGTAGATTTATACTCTACCCAACTTGAGCGACTACAGAAAGTTACTTTACCCCTTCGAGCCTCAGTATGACAGTGAAATGAGACTAAGACCACCTGCTTTGTCTTGGAATTTTTTTTCAGATTACATGGCATAACAGGTGGGAAAGCAGAGTTCTCATATCTTCCTACCCCCAATACTCTCATATACACGTACATACAATTTGTTAACATATTGCAATAGTGTGGTGCATTCGTTATAATGAACAATGTTGATATCTTATTAGTTAATATTAATTGTCTGTAGGGTCACTATGGGTTGGAATCGACTCAGCGGCAACGGGTTTGGCTTCTTTTTTGGTATATAGTTTACATGAGGACTTTTTTGTGTGTGTTGTACAGTTTTATGGGTTTTGATGACTGCACAGTGTCATGTATCTACCAATATAGTATCATACAGAACAGTTACTCAAAATCCTAAAAAAAAAATCCCCTGTGCTTTACATATTCATCCCTCCCCCACATTCCCTGAACCCTTTTTGACTGTCTCTATAGTTTTACTTTTTCTAGAATGTCATATACTTGGGATCATACGGTGTGTAGTCTTTTCAGACTAGCTTCTTTGATTTAGCCATATGCATTTAAGGTTCCTCCACACCTTTTCGTGGCTTGATAGCTTATTTCTTTTTATCACGGAATAACATTCTATCATACGGTGTACCACGGTTTGTTTATCTGTTCACCTATTGGAAGACATCTTTATTGCTTCCAGTTTTTGGCAATTATTAATAAAGCTAGTATAAACATTTGTTTGCAGGGTTTTGTTGGGACTACTCATTTTCAACTCATTTGGGTAAATACCTAGGAGTACAATTGTTGGATTGTATGGTAAGCCTATGTTTAGCTTTGTAAGAAACTGCCATCTATCTTACAAAGTGGCTTTACCATTTTACATTCCCACCAGCAATGAATGAGAGTTCCTGTTGCTCCACATCCTCACCAGCATTTGGTGGTGTCACTGTTTCGGATTTTAGCCATGCTAATAGGTGTGTAAGGAGCCCCGGTGGTGCAGTGGTTAAGCACTTGGCTGCTAACCAAAAGATCGGCTTACTTGTCATAGCCACAGTCTACATTCCACACAGGATGATTGTACAGAGAATCTGTCTGCACCAGAGCTCCAACTTCTATTTGGTTAGTGACCTATGTGGTGTCAGGCTGTGGAGCACAGTTCTGCTCTGACACACATGGCACTAATGAGTTGAAATTGACTCAACAGCAGCAGGTTCACCTGATACGCTTGGGCAGTCTTACTGTTTCCCATTTAGTGTGTCCAGTCAATATTGGTGAAAGAGTGGATTCACATACCTTCTGTTTTACATTACATAAGGGAAGTGTTCCTCAGACAAACGGTATCCACTCCGTAATACATTTCAGGTAAAAGAGACACAACCATTTCACATAAAGCCTGCTCAAGCATACCACTTTTTGTCTGAACTTCTCCTTAATCCTGTCAACCATTGTAATATGTACCAGTCTGATTGTAGCCCCCCTTAGGACTTCACCAACAGGTTTTGGAACCACAGTACATGGAATCCAAAAAAGTCTCTTTTCCACTTCCTGATCATTTTACCCATTCATGTGTGTGGCCTTGGGTGTCCAGCTGGGGGTTGGACAAGTGGACCCAGGCCCTCTCCATTAGTCTTTTTTTAATTAGATTGTGGGACCATTGCCCCAGGCAGTTGGAGACCAGATTTCTCGTTGTCATCTTTGCTTTGTATTTTTTAAAATTCCTTCAAACTAGGGTAAATAAAGCAGATTTCTTTGGGGCCCTTCAGTGTTGAGGGACTAGCAGGGGTTCCCATCGGTATAGCTAATTTCTTGAAAGTGCTAGATTAAAACCTTTACTTTGACCTCATCAATGTCCTCAATTTTATTCCCCCCGTTTCTTAATCTTTTAAAGATTTCCATCCTGCTGGGATGAATCCCTTGACACTCCTCTTTTTCTTTCCCCTCTGTTTTTTGCCTGTTCTTACAAATCACCCTAACCTTCTTTGAATCACCATAACCTTCACTATCTATTGTTTCAGCATAATTTTTACTTTGGAAGCAGCCGTGAGGCTAGTGGCTATAGCTTCTGTTCGCTGGGATCCAAGCTTGGCCCAGCATCAGGACCAGGCCCCAACATTCTCCCTTACTTTCGTTTTAGCTATTACAGATAATAACCGAGAGATTGTATATTTGGCTCTCTTCTTGTTCCTTTGCGTTTTCTTATGTATCCAGTGAGCCAACTCCCCAGGAGTTGGCTCCATCATTGCTAAATTCCATTGGTAACTTTTAGTTCCAGTAAATGATCTGGTTACCCTTTTAAGGAAATGATACTACATACGTGTGTGGGATACTTTATAATAAAGGTCTTTTAAATTTACTCATGTATTTGCCTTAGTGATGATCTTTCCTTACTTCAGATTTAGAATTCTGTTTATCTTATACTTAAAGAACTTTCAGTATTTCTTGTACAGATCTTCTGGAAATGAAATCTATCAGCTTTTCTGTCCTAGAATGTCTTTACAATGAACAGTTTTTTAAAAAGAAACAAAAAACTTTACATATGCTCTCACCAATTTTTATTGTTTTTTTATCTATGTTTTCTGAGCATATAGTCATTAAATACTTTCTTTTACCCCTCATTTGTCTTAGTTCTATATGTTTGATATGTTTAACACTTATCCTCAGTCCTCATATCATTATCAGTAGTCATTTCTGTTGTCTGAAGCTCATTTTCTAGTAAATTCCACAGAAAAAATTCATAGGAACAACATTCTGAGTTCTTGCATGTTGATAACAGTTCCTCTTATACTTGAAAGTCAGTTTTGGTATATATAAAATGTTTGTCTCACATTTCTCTCCTTGCTTATCTTAAATATGTTACTTCATTTTCTTGTGGCATAAAACCTATTGCTGTCAAATTTGATGATAATCTAATTTTCTTTTTTTAATAAATCACTTGTTTTTTCCTTGTTCTCCAAATAATTTTTTTTTTCTTTAAATGCTAATAATTTTACAGAATATATCTTGGTATTGGTCATTCAGGGTCAGTATTTTCAGGTAGCATTGTGCTGTTTCGATCTGTAGTAGTTTCAGATCTATTTTTATTTGAGGGAGGTTTTCTAGTGTTTGTTCAGTTGCCGTAGTTTGGTTTTCTTCTTTAGGGAGTACTGTTTTCTATCTGGATCTTCTTTGTCTATCTTCAGCATTTGTCACATTTTCTTGAATTCTTTTCTGTCTTGATTTCATTTTGATTTTTTTTTTCCACTTTCACCTTCTATTTCTCTTAAGGTATGTTGTTCTTGGGTGCCACGAGTCAATTCCAACTCATAGCGACCCCATGTGACAGGGTAGAACTGCCGTGTAGGGTTTTCCTGGTTGTAATCTTTACAGAAGCAGATCGCTGAATATTTCTCCTGTGGAGCTGCTGGGTGGGTTTGAACCTCCAACTTTTCAGTTGGCAGTGGAGCGCTTAATCATTGAGTCACCAGAGCTCCTTTCTTAAGGTATAATCTGTTGCATTTATTAAGTCTTGTGTTCCTTCTAGTTTAGTCTTTATTTCTGAAATAATTTTTTTTTTATTTCTAATCCTTTCATTAGTAGTGGCACTCATTTCTGAGTTTTTCTAACTCTTAATATATGTCTCATATCATTTTTTTTAATGTCTTTTGTGTTATTTTGAAATAGGTTATAGTTTAGATCTCTTTTGTATAATGTCTTTCTAATACGCTTTCTTTATCTGTAGATGTGTTATTTTTGTGTCTTGTGCTTTTTATTATAATAATTTGTGTGGTTTTGACCTTTGCACTTCTGGGAGGTCTTCATTTTTGGGGGAGGAGGAGCTGTCTAATCTTTGGCTGAAGGGTGAACCTTGGGAGTGACTTCATTACTGAGCTGAAAGGGTGTCCAGGGGCCATAGTCTCAGGGTTTCTCCTGTCAGGCCAGTAAGTCTGGTCTTTTTGTTTTGTGAGTTAGAATTTTGTTCTACATTTTTCTCCAGCTCTGTCCAGGGCCCTCTATTGTGAGCTCGGTCAGAGCAGTCAGTGGTGGTAGCCGGGTACCATCTAGTTGTACTGGACTCAGTCTGGGGGAGGCCATGGTAACTGTGGTCCATTAGTCCTTTGGACTAATCTTTTCCATGTATCCTGTTCTCTTCATTCTCCCTTGCTCCCGAAGGGGTGAGACCCGTGGAGTATCTTAGATGGCTGCTCACAGGCTTTTAAGACCCCAAACGCTACTCACCAAGGTAGAATGTAGAACATTGCCTTTATAAACTGTGTTACGCCAATTGAGCTAGATGTTCCCCGAGACCGTGGTCCCCACAGCGGAGGTGCTTCATTTTTATGTGAAATTAGCTTTCCTGAATTTTTAGAAAGATGTGTGGTTTGGGATAGCTTATCTAATTAGTTTTGTTGTTTTTGTGTAGTGTTCAAAAATAGTGATGTACTGTTTTTGAGTTTTCCTATCTCTTTACCCCATCTCCACTTTTATCTGGAACTTTTCTTTCCTTTCTCTACTGTGCCTGTCCAATGCAATTTTTATTTCACTCCCATTAGTTTCCGCTCATTGTGGGACCCTGTTCTAGATAGGAGCCATGGTTGGTCAATTTCAAGAGTTCATAGGAGATAGACTCTGCATTCATTTTAGTTCCCACCATGGACACCTTTGCTGTTCTCAGATTGGCCTGCCATGCTTTCTGATAAATACCTGTTAACTGTTTCAGGTTCTCCTGTTTTCAGGTCTGTCATACACACATGGTTGCTTTCCTTTGTTTTCTTGTGCACTGGTGCTTTTGGCACCCAAGCGTTGTGGCTCTTTGTAGTTTGCTGTCATCCACTTGGAGTTTGGGGTTTTTGGGAATTGCCTTGTTACCTGGTTTTGTTGTAAATACTGCCTTTGGGTTTTTGTTGGCTCTTTAGTTCTCCGGCAGGTGCCTGGGTGGTGCAGACAGTTCGCACTTGACTGCTAACCTAAAGGTTGGTAGTTTGAACCCACCCAGCAGTGTCATGGAAGAAAGGCCTGGCAGTCTGCTTCTGTAAAGATTATAGCCAAGAAAACTACGAAACAGTCTACTCTGTAACACCTGGGGTCGCCATGAGTCGGAATCAACTCAGTGGCAATGGGTTTGGTTTTTGGTTTTTTAGCGCTGTCTGTATTTACTTTGAGATTGGAGAGATTTAAGAACTGTGCCACCTCCACGACCTTTTCAGAATTTTCTCCTTGAAAGCATATCTTAGAGATTACTTTGAAAAATATAAATTTCAGAGAAGACATTGCAGGACTTTTAAATTTAGTAAAACAACCTGTATGGTAATGTAGAAACCTTGTTTCTCCTAGCTTCTCTTCTAAAAATCATACCATGTCTAAAAATGTCCCCAAGACAAGGGTTATGTAAAGAATTGTCTTTCAGAATTGGAGCATCATCAGACATTTGTTTGTTTTTTATTTTTTATTGTACTTTAGGTGAAGGTTTACAGAACAAATTAGTTTCTCATTTAACAGTCAGTACACATATTTTATGTATCACATTTGAATGCATTATTTTGAAGAATAGGATTTAATAGTGAATGACTATAGAATTTTGATTTTGATCTTAATAGCTTCCTTGTCTTTTTTTAGAGACGTAAGCTAAAGTATTTGAATGTCTTTTTAACTGACTGCAGTATAGTCTGTTCTGCTACAGTATATGGTACCTCCATAACATCACTTAGCTGATACACTACTGGTAAATAAGGGGAATAATATCAGTATAACATGGTATGTTGGTTTCTACATGATTTTTGCTGAACTGGTCAAGGGGATCCTGAATAATGGGAGTTGAAATTTTATACTTCATCAGGAAAGTGAGAAACTCTCAGTTTGGCTGTCATACCAGGTAAAAGCCCTTTCACCTGTATTTAAAAAAATAATATGGGCTTCCTGTTCATCATTTTAAAATGCAGGTGAATGACAGGCATTAAAAATTTAAAGAATTTTGTTGAATCAGATCACCGAGGCATTATTTTGTGGTACAGTGCCATATTGTTTTGTTGGAACTACCTACAATTAGAGAAACTGCTGAGTAAAAGTAAAATTCTATACTGAGTGATATTTTTTTTGTTTTGATCCAAACAGGAAATTGTCATTTTGGCCATTTACAATCCCAAGGATTGTTCAGAGTTAACAGAGCAGTATTCAGCCTTCACAAAATACACAACAATATATTAGTTGCTGTTGGATAAAAGCATAGAATGAAGAGAAGTAGAAAAATTATTCCTGTTAAATAAGAATGTTTCTTATATACATAAGTCAAAACAGCAAAGAGTTATAAAGCACAAGGAATTATAAGGCAATATACAGTAATATAAGAAAATCACTCATGTTTTAAAGGACTTTAGAAAAATTTTTCAAACGAGAAAAATAGATTTACAAATGGAGAAAAATAGTTCAGGCTATTGCTTGAGGTATACTATTTTAGTCGGTAATACTACAAGAATAGTATAAATTGGACCTGTGGACTTGCTCCATAAAAGGCCGTGAATAGAAAGCGTTGTTAAGGGGTAGATTTCTTGGTGTTAATTTGGGCATTGATAGTACTGAGGTTGGCAATGGGGTGTAGCAGTGGCAGACCCTATTCTTTTTGTGTCAGTTTTGGTAATAAATAATACGCCAGCCAGTTCCAGGGGGGTTCTCCGTCCTACCCTGAATGCACAAGGAGGCCATCTCTGTTCTTCAGAGCAGTTCTAAGAATACGGGAAAATTGCTTAAAATTCAGAGCACACTGTATAATTGAAGAACATGGAAAATCTAATGGACCCTGGGGAAAGGAAATGAATTGTGGGGATGTTGTAATTATATTGTATATTCTGAAGCACATTAGCAAATACTCTCAAAACACTGTCAAATTTCCTGTGTTTTCTACTCTTGGATATTAACTTTGTTTGTTTCTCCTGTATGTGAAAAACAGGGTGAGATACATCACACCATATTATATCGTTTTTAAAATGTAACCTATGAGGCAGAATGACTGTGCTCAGTGCCTCTTTTTCCCTCTTATATCTTAAGGAAGAGAGAGAAAATCCTTCGAAACGGAGTAGAATTGAACGTGATATAGATAATAATTTGATCACATCAACACCAAGAACAGGAGAAAAGCCTAACAAACAGATATCTCGAGTAAGACGGAAAAGTCAAGTAAATGGAGGTTTGTTAATATTTAGATATTGTTTTCTTTAGGTATAAGCAGAGATCTCACCTGATGTTTCTTTTTTATTTTAAAAAATCTACTTTGATGGATTAAAATAAGGGTAGGACAGCTAGCTTTATTCTGTTTAGCATGAAAATGTATATGAAGCTACATTTTTTTTATCTCTAATAAATTCGTTTCTTAAAACAATAATTGTGACTTAAAGTATGTACAAAATATTTGTTTCTGGATTATGGAATTTAAGAAATCAGAGGGGACTTGGATCATTCAGGTCAGTGGTCCTCAGGGCAATTTTGCACCCCATGGGACATTTGTCAGTGTCTGGAAACCTTTTTTGGTTTTCATAACTGATAGAGGTGGAGTTTGCTACTGGCATCTAGCAGGTAGAGGCCAGGGATGCTGCTAACCATCTTATAGTGCACAGAACACCCCCACAACAAAGAATTATCCTGCCCAAATGTCAGCAGTGCTGCTATTGATGAACCCTATTCTAGGTCATTACTGTACATCTGAGAAGGTCCTCAAAGTCAAAAACAAAGAGAAAAACGTGACAGACAAGCAGGACAAGCAGAGAAGACTATAAAGAACAACACTTAAGAGTATGAAGTGCTGCCTTTTAACCAATGCTGTCTTAAACAACGGCGTTAACAGTTCTCTCCCCCCGCAACCTCCCCCACCTACACGCACTTCCAATGCAGTGATGTGTGTTTTTGTTAGAAGTGACTATTGAGGAGAAAAAGGAGAATGAGCTGAGGGAGATGAGAAGAAGAAACCAGTTAAAAAAGAGCAGATAAGAAAAGAAATACAGTAGACACCAAGTAAAGTTTTGGAGGGTCAAAGGATAATTAATCAAAATTATTTTCTAAATTTTATATTTTCCAAAAATCTGTGAAAAATTTTTATTTATTTGAAACTTAAAACAGCTGGTTATTCTTCTTAATCACTCTGAAATCACTACCTCAATGTCCTAAGTAACTTTTGACTCTGCTATACCTGATCTTCTGCTTCAGTAGAGCTGTGTTGCTCCTGTTTATTTAGCTGTTATTCATTAGAAGTACATGAGCAGAAAGGTTTTACAAAGTAGGAAACATCCCCAAATGTAAATAAACAAAGCAGAATCTTTTACTTTTTATTCAGATATTGGAGACTGGTTTGCTTTGCTTACAAAGAATTTTCATTTTTTGTTAACCCTGTGTTGATTTGAAGCCATTCAGAAATTTTCTCTGTATGTCTGTATAATTCTAGATGCAAGTCTTCTTTGGGCGGGGCGGGGGGGGGACAACTCAGTAAATTTTAGCATTTACAAACATTATAAATAAATTTGTTATAAGGATCATTTACAAGTGATTTACCTCAGGATTTCTTTAAGCTCTCCTGAACATTAATCAGTTTACAAGAAGATCTTGAGGAGAAAAAGTTATTTTTAAAATGAATGATTTAGATCACATTTCTGAAAGTCAGTATTTTCTAGATCATAGCTCCATTTTTTCCCTCTGTTTCTTTCTTAGAAGCTGGTAGTTACGAAATGACAAATCAACATGTAAAACAAAATGGAAAATTAGAAGATAATCCTTGCTCCGGCAGTCCTCCGCGGACTACATTGTTGGGGACCATATTTTCTCCTGTTTTCAACTTTTTTTCACCAGCAAATAAAAATGGTAAGTATAAACCATTAACCATAATTTGATTTATAAAAATTCATACCTTATTAAAAGATCTTTTTTATTTTACTGGCATATTTTGTCAGTGTCTTATGTTTGTTTTCTGTTCTTTTGTGTATATTCAACCTCAATAAAAAAAGCTCCTAAAAGGCATTTCTTTTTGGTGGTTGAAATAAAGATGTTATGTTTAATTTTATTGTAGTGAGCTCTTCATTACCTGAAAAACTAGATGATAATGATAAACTTTGGGCTGGAGTAAAAGTTTTATCTTTTCTGTGTTGGGATGACTTCTGTGATTCTTAGAGTGTACATAGGAGACAGTCTACACACATTTTCAGTATTGTAGATTAATAAAATGGAATTCGTTGGATTTTTTTATTATACTTTAGATGAAGGTTTACAGAACAGACTAGCTTCTTTAATTAAACAGTTAATACATATATTGTTTTGTGATATTGATTGTGTTGAATATTTTTAAATAAGCTAAGCTAGATGGTTTTTTTTTTTAACAGTTTATCATCATTTGCTTGACTCACTCCCAACCCTCCAAAAGGGTCTTCAGTGAAGTAAAACTGCCCTAATCCAAATGAATTGAAGGTTTCATTATATCATCAAAATAGGATTCTATCCCTACCTATTTTTTTAATTGCTTAGCCAGTGTCTTGTCTTTTCTGACTACATATGCCTAATTTCATGTATGATAATTTAGTCTCTAGATTATTTGAGGGCAAAAGATCATATCTTTATTTTTGCATCTACTGTGGGGTTTGATATAATATTGGGCGTGTAGAAAGAGGATAGGCACTAAATGCTCTTTGCATGATTATTTAAATTCTGATCTTAATTATGTTTCTGGATGATAGTGCAATTTTTAAAAGACAGAATGGTGTGATGTAAAATCAAGATGTCCTGGGGGAGAATATAATGTACATTAGCACATTAAAGGTCTGTGGGGTCCTATAGTAGAAACAAAACAAAAAAACAAAAGCAAAAGCCCTGTTTAACGCAGTATTTCCTAGACATACTTGACCACAAAACTCTTTTCTGTGAAACATCTGTTAGCATCTTCTAGAACTAGTGCTCCACGGAACGTCTTTGGAAATGCTGATATAGTGGAAAGAGGGTGGGCTTTGGAATTAAACTTGTTTTAAAATTCCAGTTCTGTCATTCTTTTAGCCATGTTACCTTGGACCAGTTCTTTAAATTCTTGTGCCTCTTAATCCATGAAATAGGATGATTATATTTACATATTAGGAATGTTGTGAAGATTTCAGTTTATTCAACAAATACTTACTGAGCACCTGCAGTGTTCCAGCCATTGTACTAGGCACAGGAGATTCAAAGATGATTAACACATGCTCCCTGCCCTCAAGGAGCTTATTATATTTTACAAGAGGGAGGGCTACATGTAAATAAGTACAATAAATGTAGGAGAATTACAAGGAAGTCAGATTGTAGAGCTAAAGTGGTAAGGTGTTTGAATTTTATCCTAGTCGGTGGGGGACAAGTGAAAGGTTTTAAACTGGTGTTTTATAAGGCTCACTGTAATCGTAGTATATCGGCTTGATTCTACAATGTAGAGATTGGAGGCAGAAAGAACAATTAATAGACTTGCGGTGGTTCAGATAAGACTTGATGAGACCTTAATTATGGCATTAGCAAAGAAAGGAACAGATCAGAGGACGTAGAATGAACAAATTTTGGGCAGAGATTGGAGGTGAAAGAAGAGAAGTTAAGGTGACACAGGGGTAGAACATTCAAGAGGGAGAAGTAAGTTTCTGGGAGATAGATAATTGAATGTAATTGGGGCTCTGCTGAGTTTGAGATGCCATAAGACAACCAAATAAGAAAGTCTAGTAGCAATTTGCCATTCTGATGTAGAGCTCAGAATAATTCTGGATTTAAACGGTCGACTGTGGTATCATCAGCTTATAGATATTAGTTGAAACCAGTGGAGTAAATGAATTCAGCAGACCAAAATCCAAATCCCACCAGAATCTTGTGGGAAGGCATTTAAGGACTGGACAAAGTAAGAGGATCCAACTATATGGAGGAAACCAGGAAGGACTTCATGTAATAGAAGCCAAAGGAAGAAAGAATATAAACAACCAGGGTCAAACAATAATAAAGACAGAAGGAAATGAGCACTGAAAACACACCACTAAATCTGGCAAGTAGAAGTTCATTGGTTTCTTTTGCTAGAACAGTTTCAAGAGTGGTTAGAGTTGGAAGCCTAACGCCCTTGGCTTAGAAGAGTAAAATGGAGAGTAAGATGATTGTTACGAGGAACTTGAACATGAAGGAGACAAACTTAAAGAGGGAGGAGGCGTCTGATAGAGAGGAAGAGGTTGAGAATAGAAGGGGAAGAAGAATAACTAATGAAGATAGTTTCTTGAGACTACTGATAGGGTTAGGATCAAGAGAACTGGTAAAGGATTAGAATTGAAATAGGAAGAAGGGACATCTTCCAGCATCAGGGAAGAAGCAGGGAAGGTGCACACAAAAACATGTTTGGGGAGGAAGGAGTCAATGTTTGATAGTTTTTTTGTTTTGTTTTGTTTTTTAAGGAGATAATGTCATTTGCTGAGACTGTCCTGGTGGACTTGAAGAGAAAGAATGTTGAAGGTTTAGAATGGTTGCTGTGGGGAATAAGAAAAAGGAGCTAACACATCCCCCAAAAAAGTGCTGAGCAGCAGTGCTATGGGCCTAGCTAAGGTTAGAGGGCTTTATTTGGAATAGGAACAGTCTTTTCTTCGGTAGCCTGGGACTAAGGCCCAAGAACCCAGTTGGTTAGGTTGATTCAAGAGGGATTTCTTTCTTTTTTTTTTTAATACTATTTAATTGTGTTTAAGGTGAAAGTTTACACAGCAAATTAGGTTCCCATTCAACAGCCACTACATAAATTACTCAGTGATATTGGTTACATTTTCCACAATATGTGATTGTTCTCATTTATTCTGTTCTGGTTGTACCATTGCCAATACTCTAGTTTCCCTGCCCACTTAAACCTTCTATCTTTGCTTTAGAGTAATTTTTGACCATTTGGTCTCAAATTGGAGCCCTAGTGGTGCAGTGGTTAAGTGCTATGGTTGCTAACCAAGCGATCAGCAGTTTGAATCCACCAGCTGCTCCTTGGAAACCCCGTGGGGCAGTTCTGCTCTGTCCTGTAGGGTCGCTGTGAGTCGGAATTGACTCGACAGCAGTGGGTTTGTTTTTGGTTTTGGTTTTTGGCCTCATATATAGATGATTTTTTAAAGGAGCTCATTACCCACGGGTGATACTCTTTATTTTATGAGCCAATCTGTTATTTAGCTGAAAGGTTGAGTCAAATTTCTATAATGGATGACAGTGGAGGGACGAAGGGGCAAGGACACTGAGTCTGCTGGCTTGAGAGTGGTTTAAGTGATACACCATGAAGTCTAACTAGATGGAGAGAGCAGGGAAGAAGCCGTTGAGGGATGTGTTTGGAATAAAAGGACTGATCTTTATTAAGCTTAAAGCTATCATGTGATGGGAGTGTGAGATAGATAACTGGAAGATTAGGAGGTTGTGGTAAGGAATTAGTATATTAGAATTTTAGGTTTCAGAGACAGTTTCTTAGTGGTCATGTCCAGGGTGTGGCCGTGGTAATAACTGCTGAAGAGAGAATGAATGAAGATACTTCGAGCTGAAGAGGGCAAGAACTTTGGAAATTAGTTCAATGAGTCTTTGACATCACCTGCAATAACAACTGGACAGGCATTAAATATTAAAGAATCATAAACTGGTAGCTGGGTATTAGAGGGTGCTGGCAACAGTAAGGTCACGTGAAGAATTATGTAGCCAGGTGACAGCAGTCTCAAGGAAGCAGGTAGTTTGGCACAGTGGTGGAAAACCAGTGACCTGGGAGCAGCAGCGGGGATAAATGAATTGTGATTGAGTTAGTACATAGAGTATGGGAGAATAAAGAGCCTTGAGGGAAGAGTATCAGAAGAGATGTTTTAAGGAAAGAGGTTAAATTTAAAGCAGCAAGAGAGAAGGAATATTCTGTAAGGAAGTTGAGAGTATTGGAGATTTATTTTGTTCTTATTTTTGTTGTTTAAAATGATATTTGGAGGATTCCAGAATGCAATAGGAAGCGTTAGTATCATTCCATAGTGGAATAAAAATTAAGCAGCTGGGGCAGCAAGGTGGTGGCTGAGTATATGAGGAAATAAACTTAAGTATTTGTTATTGGGCCACCAGTGCTCCTTGCCTAGCATGTAAAAAAACCCAAACCAAACATGTTGCTGTCAAGCTGATTCTAACTCATAGCAACCCTATGGGTTAGAGTAGAACTGCCCCATAGGGTTTCCAAGGAGCGGCTGGTGGGTTCAAACCACCAACCTTTTGGTTAGCAGCTGAGCTCTTAACCACTGCGCCACCAGGGCTCCATTATCGTTAATATGGAGATATTGAATGAGCTCTGGTGGTGCAATGGTTAAGCACTCTGCTGCTAACCAGAAGGTTGGTGGTTCGAACCCACCCAGTGGCTCTGTGGGAGAAAGACCTGGCAATCTGCTCCCATAAAGATTATAGCCTAGAAAACCCTATGGGGCAGTTCTGCTCTCTCACACGGGGTCACTATGAATCAAAGTGAACGGGACACCACATAACAACAGCACTTAACCACTGCGCCACCAGGGTTTCCCATAACAACAACAGAGATGCTTAATTTAATGAAAAGAAGTTCTAAATTTTGGTGTTATTTAACTAAATTGGTGTTTCTAAAGTATTTGGAAGCTCTTAAAAATTTTACTCACAGATATCACTCTAACCTGTAATAGTCTTTATTATTACTAGTCTTATCATTAGTATTATTAGTCTTGTTTGAAACGTCTAGAAAAGACTCAACGGTGAGCTGAGCTATCCTCAGCTGTGTGAATTATCAGTCTGATTAAATAAATTGTAAAGTGATACTGCATTTAGTTTTTCTGTTGCATTAGTTTTAAAATGTTGATTGTGAATATACTGAATCATGATTTCAGGAACATCAGGATCAGATTCCCCAGGACAGGCTGTAGAAGCTGAAGAGATAGTGAAACAACTTGATATGGAACAGGTGGATGAGATCACTACCAGTACTACTACATCAACTAATGGAGCCGCTTACTCAAATCAGGCAGTTCAAGTGAGGCCGTCGATAAATAATGGTTTAGAAGAATCAGAAGAAACAGTTAATCGTGATATCCCACCCCTTACAGGTGAAGAAAATGCCTTTTCTTATGCATCTTTATGAATAGTTTATAAAAATACACTATTTTCATATTTTTTTCTTAAATGGGCAGTTTAAATGCATAAATTTTTCTTCCTTGAAGTTAAAAAAAATAAAATTGGAAACAAAGTTTTCTCCCAAAAATCCGATCATTTTGAAATTGAATTTTTCTTGAAAGGTTGTTTTGACTAAGTATTAGTCATTTTAAAATTTATTTCCACCAGTCTTAACTGCTTGGGGAAATTTAACATAAGTAGCAAAATATATGCTTACGTTTTGAACAGAATTATTGTAATTGGCACTAGTCTTAATTCCTTAGGTCTGAGGTTCCTACCTAGAGACATTCTTATACCTTTCATATTTGTATGCTTCATATGTAGATGACATCCCCTAAAAAGGAGCTCCTGATCCTGGATCTCTCCCTGTACCCAGACTTGCAGTCTAGCTCTGGATCCTTACAAAAGCCTAACATAACTGCTGGGTCCCTGTTGTCATGGAAATGTAGAAAGACAGGAGATCAGAAATTTCTTGCCTCTAAGGATTGTGGTAGATAGACATATAAGTCTAAAAGATGGAATTTATTTTAAATTTTAAACATACTTAAAAGCAGAAATAAAACTGAGGATGGCCATCTTCTCCCTCTGGGGCAGAGATCTTATTTTTCTTTTTAATTCCTTGTTGTAACAGATATTTGAGAGAGCCCAGTGAGTATGTACTGATTTAGAAATACAGTTTGGTATAAGGCGGCAGAATAATGTATTTCTGTCAAATATAGAAGGGGAAACTTAAAGATTATTGAAACAGTGGAAGACATTTAAAGAAAAAATGGCTATAATTATGAAACTTCTGTACAGTGCAACGCAGTAATAGCAGTATGAAAAGTAAAGCAGCAATATTTGTTTTAAATTAGTCAAATAGACTAATATCTATAGTGTTAAACACAAAATTTAAGAATATTGTTGAACCTAACAGGCAAATCAACAAGGATTATAAACGGACGGTTCATTCTTATACATGGGAAAGATTTACGAATTAACCTACCACTGACCTACCATTTTATGCTGATTGCTTTGCCCAGTGTTACAAGGCTGATGAATGGTAAAGTACTGACTACAGTTCAGGGCTCTTGGCGTCCTGTTTGATGTTTGTCCTGTATTTTTGTGCTGCTACATAGCTGTTGTCCCCCCCCGCCCCCCGCCTTTTTTTTTTTGACATCTGTGAAAATGGAGAAGGGACTTTTACAACCTTTAGTGATTTCTAGAGAAGAAAAGTAAAATTTACTGCAGTTGTTTTAGTCATTCATTTTCCTAACATTTGATGAACACCTATTATTTGTGTTATGCACTGTTGATAAACATGAATGTTATCCTCCTTGACCTTGAGGAATTCACGGTCTAATTAAAATGCCAAGTATATAGAAAAATTACTGTACGCTATGGTGACAGCTGTTACAAAGAAGTTAGCAAAGTGATGTGGTGCTATGTGGCAGGTAACTCTGATTGGGGGATCATCTGATGAGATTTATGCTGCTCTAAAAGGTGCATATGAGTGACAGAAATACTGCTTTTCCTCAACTTTGAGAAGGTAGCCAAAGAGAATAAGAAAGAGGCTGGTGGGCATGTGATTTGAATGTGAGATGGGAAACTGAAGAAGATGTGGTAAATTAGTGCTCTATACTGATTGTCGTTGTGTGCCATCAAGTCAATTCTGACACATAGCGACCCTATAGGACAGAGTAGACTTGCTCCGTAGGGTTTCCGAGGCTGTAATTGTTACAGGAGCAGATCTCCAGGTCTTTTATCCAGTGGAGTGGCAGGTGGGTTCGAACTGCTGACATTTTGGATAGCAGCTGAGTGCTTAACCATTGTGCCACCAGGGCTCCTTCTATACTGATTGGAATAGTACAAAAAAGCATGAACTTTGGCCTCATATAGCCCTGGGATTGAAACAGCCATACCATTTTCTTAGCTGTGTGACTTTGGACAACTCATTCAAGCTCTCTAACGCTCAGTTCTCTTAGCTCTAAAGTGGTAATAACAACAATTAATGATGATAATCAATTAATAAGTTAAAAAATAAAACAGTTGCCATCAAGTTGATTCCCACTCATAGAAACCCTGTGTGTGTCAGTATAACTGTGGTTTTTTGTGGCTAATTTTTTGGAAGTGGATGACGAGGCCTTTCTTCTAAGGAGCCTCTGGGTGGTTTCAAACCACCAACCTTTCTTTTAGCAGCCAAGCCATTAACTGTTTGCACTAGGGACTCCTGGTTACATGTGTAGTTAAAAATACATGCAATCATGTAATGTGTTAGTTACATAAATAATAAGGATTGTAAAGGCTAAATGAGATGAAATATGAAAACTGCTTAGTATACTGGCATTCAATAAATGTACTTCCTCCTTTTTCTGAGGTTAATAAGAATTCAAAATAGTAAAGTGATTGGAAGATATATTTTTCATTATTTTCTTGTGCTAGTGACCCATTATTGGCATGAAGTTGAGTCACGGATAAACAAAAATTCTGCTTTACATCTGGTATTTTCATTGAACATACATACCATATTGTGTCTGTCTTGAAAGATATTAATACATAATAATAGCAAAAAAGGTTATTTTTGTCTAGAAAGACTATTATCTACCAGCATTCCATTTCTATAGAAAAATTGTAGCAATTTTTATTGGATTCCATCTTAAACTTTTATCTCTCTGAGCCATTACCTGTTTAGTTTGCAGGTTATCTTTGTCCTCTCCTCCAGTTTAAGTTGTAATTATTTCTTAGAAAATTCCCAGTAATTCCTAAAGCTCTGTCAGTTGATACTTTTTTTTTTTTTTTTTAATCGATGTATTTTTAGCTGAAACAGAATGGACTTGTGTGGCATGGAATATAGAATTGTTTCGTGATTATTTTTTAGTTGCTTGTAGATCAGAGGTAAAATAATAGATCTTGTAAAGCAATAACATCTATTAAAGAGGAGAATTTTCTAACTTCTTAAAGTATAGAAAGCTTTGAAACTCCTGGAAAAATGTACATCTTAAAGACTGTTCATGTATCCCAGGTTAAAAACTACCTGTGGGCCTATTGTCAGCATACTTCACTGACTGCCTGTGTGTATAAGTCACTTTATGAGGAATACTGCTGTAAGAGCACCGTGACATGTTTGTGGTCATTACATACACACACACACACACACACACACACACACACACACACACAAACAAACCCATTGCCATCGAGTCGATTCCGACTCATAGCGACCCTATAGGACAGAGTAGAACTGCCCCATAAGGTTTCCAAGGAGTGGCTGGGGGATTCATACTGCCGACCTTTTGGTTAGCAGCCGTAGCTCGCCGTAGCTGTTAACCACTGCACCACCAGGGCTCCGTATAAATACAGTGCGGATAGAAATTGAATGTTTGTGGAGTATATTTTTCTAGTCATAAGTAGTAAGGTTTCTCTTAGCTGATAGATAGGAATTTTCATTCTGACTAGGCATGATCTAGCTCGTCATTTTGTCTTTAAAAAAAAACAACCTGTCTTTGAGTCAGTTCCGACTCATAGCGGTCCTGTAGGACAGAACTGCCCCCAAGGGTTTCCAGGGAACAGCTGGTGGGTTCAGACTGCTGAGATTTAGTTTAGCAGCCAAGCTCTTAACTGTTGTGCCACCAGGTCTCCATCTTGTCTTTAGTGATAATTTTTTCCTTTGAATCTGCAATTAGAGCTATATGTTAATAGATTTGCTTTTAAATACTGTTTACAAATTATTACTATCTTATCTTTAACCTAAATTACACAGGATTTCAGGAATATCTTATATAGAAGCAGTAAAAATGTATACTTTGTGGCAACACTGAGTAACATGAACATTTTGTTTTTCACTTTATTAATTGTTAGCACCAGTAACTCCAGATAGTGGTTATTCATCAGCCCATGCAGAGGCCACCTATGAAGAAGACTGGGAAGTATTTGACCCGTGAGTTTGTTTTTTCTGTTTGTTTTTCTTGGAGGAGACTGAGAGGACATATATGGAAGAGAGGCTGAACGGTATATTACAAAGAGCACATGACCTGTAGTTATCAATACTTTATTCAATTACTGAAATACTAATTTGTGTACTTCCCCTTTACATGTTTTAGATGTTTGATTTACTGAGTTAAATGTGCATTTTTTAATTAAAGATTTAAAGATGGGCTGAATTTAGTAATATATTTTATGTTTATAAAAAGTAGACATGTTGAAATTTTCTTCAAATTTGGTTTATAGGTATTATTTCATCAAACACGTTCCACCACTAACAGAAGAACAACTAAATAGGAAACCTGCTCTTCCGTTGAAAACAAGAAGCACACCAGAATTCTCCCTAGTTTTAGACCTGGTAAGTGTCTCAGATCTGTATAGGAGAATAAAGGAGTTAAATTCTTATTTTAAATAATAGTCCAAAATACCTAAAAGAAAACAGTATATGGATATCTATATAGTATGAGTTTACTGTTAAGTATGTCCTAGATGTTCTGAAATTTTTATTTAAGCATACTCTTAAATAAATCCAGTTTGGTTAGTATCAAGTACCCTTTGAAAATAAATTAGGCTTTTATTTTTGTGTTTAGATTAGTTCTTTTCCCCCATAGTCTTGAGACCTTTGCTGTTGGTTTGTTTTTTTAATCTCCCGAGAAGTCCTAGTTTGATTTTCACTGGAATCCTGCCTAGATTTTAGATTTCTCCTTCTTTGTCAGATCATGTTTTCCTGAAGGAGCTCATGTAATCTGGACCTCAGTGCGTTACCTTCTGCAAGCCCGATGCTCCTCTTCCTGGTCTTTGCATATTATCTAATATCAGTAAACTTTTTATTAATAAGAGTCTCAAAAGCATGATCTCTTAATGCTGACTAATAAAACCTTTATTGTGCTCTCTTGGTGTGATTAACAATTTGATATTTTAGGTGCCCAGAAGAGCTTTGAAAAGTGAAAATCTCATATCTTTTGTTAATCAAATTTAAAATACGGTCACTTCATTCAAATTTAATACATGGTCACTACATTTACCATCTGCCTACAATTTCTTTATATTAGCAAAAATAAATGTATCCATTATATAATATTGGAATTAATTTCATTATTTAGCATTTGGTATTGTTACCCTGTAATTGGGGATATGATTTGGTTCTCAGAAAATTTACCTTTAATTAGTTGTATAGTTGTATTTTGCGAGTTATAGCGTCTTAGCCTTTGCCCAGCCAAAGAGGTGGAAGATAGGTATCCAGAAGTCGTAAGTATTTCTATGATATTATATTAGAGGATATGTAGAAAGAGAAAGCAAAAATTTGAAGCTGAGTATCTGAGTAGTTCAGATTCGATATGCATGTTAGTGGAGAAACTGAAAAGGGTCTTGATGATGTTAGGAATTGATGTCACAATAGCAAATCTGATTGGAGTCGAACTTGCTCTCATATTGTTTGGAGCCATATTGTTCAGACTCTAATGTGAAGGTAAATAGAGAAGGAAAAATAAGAATTGGCTAAATGGAAATGAATAATTTTACAGAAGTAGATAAAGAAGAATAATTAGAATTTTAGATATGTTGTGGTAGAAGTGGTAGGATTAGTTACGATTTTCTTACAATACTAAGAGAATATTTTGAAGTATGTAGTCTGATATGATATTAAAAGAAATGAGGCATATCTAGAGTATTTTCTGCTCTTAACTTAATCTAACTTTAGGTTAAAAGAAGCACTCCACCTAGTAAGATGTGGAATCAAAAGGTATAAACATTTGTGTTTCATTTTAATTGAGCTTAAACACATTGTGGGTAATTATTAGCAACTTTATTCTAAAAATAAATGCTATTAGCACTTAATACATGTGGAAGCCTCAATTTTTAACCATATAGAATTTGAGAAATGTAAATATTTATATGTATCTTGGATTGATTGATCTTTATCTTCTTGTCCTTTTAATGAAAAAGCAGAAGTTTGGCAATCAAATATAAGTCTTTATTGTTTGCTGATTTAGTTGAGCAGTGTATATATGTCTGCATAACGTATTCATGAGATACTAAAACATGTGTTTCCTAAAATAAGATTCTTTGTAAAAGGTTTGAGGATAAGCAGTTATACAAAATACACATACACACACACACATATACATGGACATATATGTATGTATATATATTTAACAATTAGATTCTCAACTTGCATTTGCTCGTTGTCAAAAAACAACAGTAGTATGCATGTGGTTTTCTTCACCAGAAAAGTTGGCAACTTCAGAACTCAGAGCAGTGGTTCTCAACTTTGAGCACACATCAGAATCGCCTGAAAGACTCACTAAAACATTGATGACTGAGCTCCACCCCTAATCATACCCCACCCCCCATAGAGTTTCTGAATCATTAGGAATGGAGCTGGAGAATTTACGTTTCTAACTAGTTCCCAGATGATGCTGATGGTGGTCCAGCGATAACACTTTGAGAACCAGTGACTTAGATAATTCTATCCCAGATTGCTTTGCCACATGTAATTATGGATTCTAAATGTAAAACTCCACTTATTAATGAGTATTTTAATGAAATGTTTTTGGTGATCATATCATGAATACATAAAATTTTGTGAAATCTCTTTTAGTATCTTGGTCCATTCAACATGTGCTTTTTATTTTAAGGACGAAACACTAGTGCACTGTAGTCTAAATGAGCTAGAAGATGCAGCACTTACTTTTCCAGTCCTTTTCCAAGATGTCATTTATCAGGTAATTAAAAAATTTTTTTAACTTAACTTTTGGCCTTTTAGATAATGTTTTGAACCAAGAAATCTTGTAGTTTGTGTGTGTGTGTGAAGTTAAACATGTTTTTCTGTATACCACCTAATGGATTTCATGGATATTATAATGACTTACTAACACAAAGTAGCACCACCACTACCACGCTAAATAATTACATAAAACAACATTTATTTGTTACAAAAAATACTAACTTTTTAATCCAGTCATTTCTGCTAGTTTCACAGTCTGTTTGCCAGCAGGTGGAGGCAGGAGCACTGACGGCATAGATCCCCAAGAGGAACTCGCCAGGCTAATACCTGGTGTTTTGTTCTTGCTTTTTTTCCCCTCAAAATCCAATTACTATAAAGTCATTCCTTGTTGGTCATTTTAGTTTTTCTATAGTAATATGGTCTGTAAGTTGCATTTTGATAGATCTACTCTATATTAATCCAGAATTCCAGAATACTCTCCTGGCTGTTGCTTTACTTAAGAATTTGGGTATAAGCATTCCTCCCTCATATATGCTGATGGACAGATAACAGTATAGAATACAAATATCATTAGCATTTGGCTATGGATTATGTGTTTTGACCATAGTTTTTATTTTATGTTTGAGGTGTTTCTGTCATAAGATTTGAATTAATTAATGTAAATGCATACACTTTGAAAACTGCAAAGTGTTTTTCTGTGGTGGCAGTTATGTTATTGAATTAGCATTATCTTCATACATACTAGTTTTTGAAGGTTTGCGGAAAGGTCAAAAAGTTTGTTTGTCAAGAGGAGTTAAGGATTAACTAACTAAAGCCACAGAGCACTTACATGTGGATTATGAAAAGATGTTTAGAGTTGTTTTGTACTCTTAATAGGCAGTTGGAATGTGGTTATGGTTTTCTTGGCAGATGACAGTTACTATCTCATAGGAATCATAAAATTTCAGAGTTAAATAGAAGTTTGTGGCTCAGGGCCTACTTTACCTATTTTATCTTTTAATGAGTCATAAGAGGATTTATTTTAGCAGTTACATTTAACCTAGATAGGTACTGTAGGTATGGTAATGCCTGAATACTATATTCACTTTCCTTTTATGTAAACTGATTTTAGTCCTGATATATAACCAAAGGATGAGCAAAGTATACATAAAAATAAGGGATTTTTGAAGGTTTTGTATTCTTCTATTACTGGATATTATTTGGTTTAAGGTAAATCCTTTTCTTAATAAAACACTCTCTATTGGAAAATTCCAAAACTGCCAAATAGTTTGTTCTTGTTTAGTGTATTTCAGGGAAAGAAGTCTTGTGGCAAATATAAATAATATAGCAGTATCTTAGTCCTCTCTTTTAATTTGATAACCTGTTTTTTCTTTAAAATTACACGCAGAAACGATGGCTTTAGGGCTTTGATTTTGGAAAGGAAAGCTGTTACTTGAAAAATGTGGGTAAATAATTTTGAGATGACTTCTTAGGTTTCAAGATTTGACATTTATTTCTTGTAAATGGCTTTTGATGTGTTTATGTAATTTCAATAGGGAGATTAAAAAAAACTTGGAAAGTAGATGGCTCTGATTCTTTCCCTTTGTGAGCAGTTCTTTCTGTATGACCATAAAATTGATGTTTTCTTATTCCTTCTACCATTACTACTTAACTGTCTATAAAGTTCTTGTTTTTTATGTGGATCTGGATAGTTGTCTTATTTTGAACAAAAGCCTTCTTAGTGCATATGATGAATACTTATAAAAGCCATATTTTACTGCATCTCTCTGGAATTTAAAGGACTTTTTCTTATATATTCTAAGTTATGCTCTCTGAAACTGAAAAACGAATGAGCATAAATCAGGAGCAATAAGCAGGGAGTTTGAATCTTACAAACTATAGAGATGATCACATTTAATATTATGATTTAGTTACTATGTCATGGGCAGAGTTTAGTTTCCCCTTAGTAAATTTTTGAGAATGTCTATAGTCAGCATTGGGTATATTCCCTTGGATTTCTGGTTTTGGCATAACCATTCTTTCTGATTTTTTTTTTTTTTAAAGTAGCTTTGAAGAACTCTTTGGGTTAGGGTTCCCCCAGTTTTTCAGACCAGCAAGCTCCCTTTAAACAGGGAATGATGTCTTTTAAACTTTCAGTGGTGTTGTCTCCATCTACTGGCAAAGAAGAGATATACACAAGGGTGTGAGATGATCTAAGATTTTGGAGAAACAACTTTAGGTAAGATGTAACTTAAATATTTAACCACTTCAATATATGTGGCCCACTTAAAAGTAGAAACCTGTAAAATACTGTATATACTCTTGAATATGTCAGAAACTAAAAATAAAATGGTCATGTTAAGATAGGATCAAGTTCCTTCATCTGAATCAAAGCCAGATAAGTGTTCTCTCGAAACTTACTTTACTTTCGTTCCTTTATATGGTAAATCTCTTATTGCTTACCTATATATAATTTTAATTCTACATGTCATTTCTCTTTCCATTTCAAAACAATTTAAATTGTCTTATACATGTTTTAGTAATTGTATCAGGAGTTGGCAAACTTTTCTATAAAGGGCCAGATATAAACATTTTAGGTTTTGTGGGCCATATGGACTCTTGCAACTACTTAACTCTGTCATTGTAGCATGGAAACAACCATAAATAATACAGGAATGAATAAGCATGGCTGTGTCCCAGTAAAACTTTACTTACAGAAATTGGTGGTGGGCCGGAGTTGGCTCGCAGGCCGTGGTTTGCTGATCCCTGGTCTAATAATTATGAGAGTATATACAGTAATTTTATATATGCAAATTCTAAGTGAAAGTAAGTAATCAAATGTTCATCAGAATTCTTATTAACATATAGAGAAAATTAGATCCACAGGAATCTGGCTGTGGCTGTCTTAGAATTTTCAGATCAAAGTTGAGGGAAATTTGAGGTGGCCATTACTCACAGTTAAAGATGGCCTGATTTCGTGATATATACTCTTCTTTTGACTGATAAGTAGGAACAAACTTGGTTAATACAAATCCTAGAATTTACAAAAAGGTAGATTATTAAAGCCTAAATTTAGTACTTTGAGTGTATTTGAATTCCATATCTCTAGGGGATAAGAGACTTAAAAGATCCATCTCAAATTACAATTTGATATATATTACTACTACTGACATTAAATGGAATAGACAGATAATACTTTGTGTACGTGGAGAAAAAGTCATTCGAAAGAAGAACTGACTTTTTAAAGTGAGGGTATGGTACTCACAGAGGAAAAGTATATGGGTTTTTGTTTGAGTGGAACTTTTTTTTTTCCCTTAAGTTGGTATTTTTTTCCTGTATTGTTTTATAATTAGCCAGTGGGAAAACATATTTATTCATTGAATGGTAAAATGCATTTGATATCTGGAAAAACAAGTGCATGATCAATTCCAAAGCACATGTTTAATCTTTATATTTAGCTTATATTGACACATTGTCAGGAAATCCATCTCGTGGTGTTACTCAGTTAAGAGGTCTCCACTGTATTTAGTTTCTGTTCCTGCAGATCCACCAATTCAAGACTCTAGGTCATCTCACTCCCTCTTCCATCCAGAAGATGACTTCTATCCACAAGCAGGACTGAATCAAAAGACAGATTTTTCACTTAGCTCTTGAGCTGAACCACCTCCTCAATGACCTTCCTCTGTCTCCATCAAGAACTGGAGCTCAGATTTTGAAGATGTAATAGAACTACTCAGCCCAAACGTGGCTGATTGAAGACAAAAAGAAGATGCCTCATATGTTTCACCACAGTGCAGCCAAACGTAACTGTGTTGTCCAACTCCTCATTCTGTAAAGTATGGCAGGGGCATCTGATTTTTGACTCTGTTCACCAATAAGACTTTAGCCAGTCAGTGGCTTTCTGAAGATCAGTAATCAACAAACTTTGGGTCAGCTGTCCAGAAATGAGATTGTGGTAAGCACTCAAGGAGTGATAGGATCCTGTAGGGAGCTACTTGCTAAAGGATGCTTTGTTTTATTAGTAGAGTTTGCTTTTGTGGGAGAAGTTGGGGGGGGAGAGGTGGGTGGGGGACAATGGTTAGCAAAGCTTAGCCTCTTCCACTTTATTATAGTTTGTTTATTTTCTTTTTGGGAATCTTATAGCTTAGGATAATTTTCATAAGCATCTTAAACATTCTGTGAGAGAAGTGAAGGGTCAGTGCCTCCTTTCTCTTCTTTACAATCTTTCTTAGAAAAGTCAACATTATTTTGTATATATGAAGAAAAAAGCAGTCATGTAGATGAAGAGTTGTGTAGTAAATACCTAATCAAGTTTTTCCTTCTCTCAAGATCTTACTTAAATTGTTACTTATCTAGAGGCATTTTATTGTTGACTTTCATAAGGCATAATTTTATTGTACAAAAGTATGTATGTTTGTACCTTAAATTTGGGGGCATGGACACTAAGTATTGAGGAAAGATGTGCTATTTTAGCTGGTAGGGAATAATATTTTTATAGTTAATTTTAGATAAATATTAAAAAGACAAGTAATTTTAAAGTAATTTCCCTATTCTTATTAGTATAGTCATTGGTACTGATTTTCTCTTCATAATTATTCATTATTAATTTCAGGTTAAAAAGAGAAAGGTATAAATGGAACCTATAGTTACCTACTTCTCAAAGATAAGAGAATGTGTTTCATGGGGAATTCTTTGTCTGAAATGTATCTTAAAATTAGGAGCATTTTATTACATAAAATAACACTATATGGAAAGTTCTTGTAACATCTGAAAATATTCTGTAAATTTAAGAGAGGTGGCAGTTGATTACTAAACATATTAAATTGAAGGCTTCATTCACTTTGCAATTTAGAATATGTTTTTAAAGGCAAAAATTTTTGTTTTATTAAAACGGCCAATTTTTACTTGATGAAAATTATGCTTCATTGCTATCTTTGACTGTGTCATCTCCATGAATACATTAAGCTACAATTTATCTCACTTGGACTCTTAAAATTTCTTTTTTAAATGCATTTCTATTTAATACCTGGTAAGATTTTGCAGAGATTTTTAGTTTGGGAATTCTGTTTGTTTTGGTTTTTTGTTTTTAATTCTTACTGGTTTTGATGTTTTAGTATTTACCTGTTCATTCACCTACAAATACTACCCCTAGCAGCCATCTGCCTCTTACTGGAACTGTGTGAATCAAAGGATGACTGTAAAATCACTCAGTGAGTTAGGAAGTTGAGGCCTCCACAAGGCCTACTTGAGCAACCCTCTTTACTTGGAGAAGGTTCGGGTTTTGTCTCTGTGGTCTGGTATTGATGCTAAGAAAATGTTAACTAATCTAAATATTAAGCTGTCAACTGACACAGTTCATTTTTACTTCCCCACTTCCAGAAGTATAGATTGTAGTTCTAGGGTTTTCTCTTGCCCATTTCTGCCCCATGGAATCATATTCATTCCAGCAGTTCTCCATACGATTGATTGCTTTCAGATAGTGAGGTGGATAATAACAATAATTAACAGCTTTGACACTTTCAATGTCCCAGGCACTATTCTAGATGCTTTACATGTATTAACTTATTTAATCCTCACAACAAACCTATGAGGTAGGTACTGTTGTTATCCCCATTTTATAGATGAGGAAACTGAGGTACACCGAAGGGTTAAATGACTTGGCAGAGCCACCAGTGGTAAGATTTTTCAGTTAATTGTAGCATCTGATTCTTCACATTCCCCAACATTGTTAATCTTTTACTACTATAATTCTTACCACTGATTAAATAAGAAGTAGCACCTACCAATCATCTTTTTATTTAAAGGGAAATAGATGCCACACTCTTAATTGGATGAGCCCTACTGAATTTACCATTTTTACCTACAATGATGTAGATGTGAGTGCAAAGCATATTATAGAAAAAGTATTAAATATTTTTCCTAAAAAGACTCACATATGAGAAATTTTTTCTTAGCCGTTTGTCCACAAGTGGAAACTGCTTAACCTTTGGGTATTTTTTTTCTGTCATACTGTTAAAGTTATCTGTGATATTAGATTAAGGTTCAGTAAGCTGCTAGTTAGAAATTACTCGGTATATAACTTGAAATTGCATAATTAGACATGAATTTATATTTAGACAGACTTTACCATGCAACATTTATAGTAAGTTTATAAATGCATTACTATTTTAATGACTACTTTTATTAACTCTAGTTCTGTTAACCATTTCTAGCCTATTTTAAAAAAAACAAGCCCCTTGCCATCAAGTTGATTCCGACTCATAGCGACCCTATAGGACAGAGTAGAACTTCCCCGTAGGGTTTCCAAGGCTGTCTTTATGGAAGCAGATTGCCACATCTTCCTCCCACAGAGCAGCTGGTGGATTCGAACCACTGACCTTTTAGTTAGCAGCCAAGAGCTTAATCACTACGCCACCAGGGCTCTTTATTAGGACTATCCATATACAATCATAGGAAATTCTCATTGTCTTATTATCAAAGAAAGTTCAGGCTGTCAGGTATTATTCCTATCAAGTAGTAGTATTAATGTGGTATTATTCTGTTATAAACTCACTGCTTTTATATATAAAAGTTAATTTGTGGTAAAATCAGCCCACAACACATTACATAGGGTTAGTTCTATTATCAGAGTTTAGCAAATATTAGTCTAGTATGTTTTATTATAAAATCTTGCATAATGAACATATTCATAAATCCCTTATCTTCGAGTAGTAGTCTTATAGTCAGTCTGGTGGTATATTTTTTGTTTCTCATTACAACATTTTATGTACTATTTTAAAACTTCTGAATTTTTTTCCAAAATACCTATAAAGTAGATTAATTGCTTTAGATTTGGAAGGACATGCTGAAATGTAGCTTTTGCTTTATCTCACATTTGAGAGACTACATAGTTTTGAGGAGTTGCAAGTTTGAAAAAGAACAGATTGGTGAAATACTAAGTAGAGACAGGCGTAGATTAAGGAGATGTAGAAAATGGGAAGAAAGTTGGGAGAAGAAAAATGGAGTTAAGGGCATCTGTGGAATAGATTTTTTAGCATTTGGAAGCATGCCTGTATATGCATCTAAACGTTTGTGTCTCTCTGCAACCTAGTCTCAAAAATTAAACCTGTCATACTATACTTACCTTCCAAATGTTCTTTGTTTCTACTGAACAATACTTAATGCTTCTTCACTTCTATACTTCTGCTCATACATACCTTAACATAACCCAATAACATTTTTTTTTTTTCCACTAGCCACCTCAGTCTCTGCTCGTGTCTTTTAATACTGAAACACCTTCCTTTTTGCTTTCCTAAATCATGGTGACTCTGTTCTGAGGATGGAAACTTACAGTCAGCAGTTACTCTAGTCTCATGGTTAGGAAACGCTCTCAGCAGTACGTTCCTTCATCTTCAGTGCCACTTTTCATCCCCACTAAAGAAACACATTTTGACAGCAGTGTCAAACTTTAGATGTATCTCATATTTAAATATAGTCAAAGTAATAAAATGTATAATGAAGTTATAGTTTTGACCTAACCTGGAAGTCACTGTCTAAGAAGTTGGAAAATGTCACTTTGAACAATGTTCTACTTATTATGAAGTTGCTTGGAAAGTATCGTTTAAATTGTTCAAATAAAATTTTAAAATCTAAGAAGTATTCCTTTAATGTGGAAGCATGCTGGTATTCAGAGGAAACCCCAAATTACAAAGGCCCTGTTTATCTCAGTTCACAATGCGGGACAAGTAATAACAGGGATATTGAAAACGTTTACATATATGCAAAGATGAATTTTTTTGGTTACTTAACCTTTTTAGCAGCCAACAGAAGGCTCTGATCATACTATGTTACCTTCTTTGAAATGAGGTAATTGAGCAAAAAGTATTGGCAGAATTAATGGGTTTTTCTTAACCATCATAAATCTATTTTTAAAAAAATCCATAGTTAATAAATATGATATTGTCGGTACAATAGTAATATATCTAAAATATATCAATGTTTGGCCTACGAAACAAGTAAGGTATTCGTGGTTTTCAACCCAGGCTGCAAACAGTACCAAGTGTTTCAGGATAAAAATATCAATATTAATTAGAAGAACAGCTAAAACAATGTCAAGAAAAGAATTGTTCATATATTGAGTATGTCTATTTCCAGTTGTTTTTCTGTGCATACACTTATCCCACACTCTCTTTAAAAATTAAAATAGGATGAAAGTATAATCTGATTTATTCACTCAGTATGTAATGAATATTTTCCTTTCTCATTCTTCCACATTATTTTTATTTTCTGTACCTTAATTTAAACAATCCATTTAAGTTCTTATTTTTTACTATAATAAGCAATGCTGCAGTTAATTTTTTTATTATATCCATACATCTTATCATTGCTCAATAAGGAGGAAAGTAAAGTCACAAGTAAACTATAGTGAAATCCTAAACGATGGTGATTAGATACTGTGGGTGTGGTTACGTTTATGTGCTGGTGCGGGGTATGTAGCTTACTTTGTTTTTGATTAATGATGATATTAAGAGTAAACTTTTACCATTCTAGCCTAGAGATGGAGACAGTCTAATATTATTATTAGCATATTGATAATCATTTGAAATTTTTCTTTCACAAGTGATCAATTCTAAGGGAAATTCAGTAGTTGCACTTGTGTAGTTATGTGGATTTGTCTCTCTTATTTGTAAAATGGGAGCCTGTCATAAGACTTTGGTGTTCAATAAGATAATTTTGTATCTTCTCCCCAAAAAACCCATTGCTGTTGAGTCGATTCATGTTCTTAGAGGGAGAAGAACTAATGAGTATCTTAATCTGAGGCCAGTGAGTCTGGTGCATAGTCTAGTGCCCTATACACTGTAGGTGTTCCATAAATATTTGTTGTTCATGGTATTTGAGGTTAATAATCACCTTTGAATGGAATATAAAGTTTTCTTTTTATGAAATTGTCACAAAGTGAATACATTTTAGAGGAGTCAAAATCTCTTGTAAATCACTTTTAGTGGTTAAGCTCTTGGCTTATATTTCTGTGCTTTTTGAATACTGGAGTATATTGCAAGAGCTACATTAAGTGTAGGCAAGAAAACACACACAGAAATAAGAAAATAAGCTTATAAGGCAGCTCTTTGGGTACTGTAGTCTTTCCTCATATTGGCCATTTTGAGAACTGATGTGTTCGACTGATACAGTTTTAGCCTTAGGTACCCAATAGTGCTGATTTAGATGGCACATCTGAATTCATAGTTGTAGAACAGCAAGATTGACTTCTGAAAATTCTGGTTATTTGCACCCACCAATCTAGACATCTTCTTTTGGGACATTATTTATTTTAATGGAAATCGAAAATAAAAGTATTATTAGCAGGTGATTGTTGAGAAGAAATTCTGAGTAATTATTGAGGAAGGTCATTGAGACAGGTCAGCTAGAGGTGGACGCACAGCCTGCCTAATAATTGGATGGATGCTACCTGGCTGGAAGATGGAGCTGATTGGTGGATCAAAATCTCAGAGGGAAACCTTCCATTTTTAGCTTGTTAATGAAAATTACATTCCAGTGAAGTACTACTGTATGTTGCTCTTTAACTATTAAAAGTAAAATGATCACCAGTGATGATTATTACCCTACCAAAAGGTGTTTTAAGTGATTTCTTGTATATGAAATACATTTGGTTTGAGTGGTCATCTAGTAAACTTTTCTATTGCTTTAAAATATGTATACTTTCTTAACTATAGTATATCCTAAGTTAGAGCACAGCATATTTTATAAACGAGTAGTTTTCATTTTGTATGTTTATTTGTTGAAGCCTCTCTTTATATTTCTTCAGGTTTATGTGAGATTAAGACCATTCTTCAGGGAATTCCTGGAACGAATGTCTCAGATGTATGAGGTAAAAATGCTTAAGCTAATTATGTATTTATTTTTAGTTTATTCAGCATAGTACCCATATTTAGATCATGTATAATGATTACTTCTTTTCCCCTGAATTTGTAGATCATTCTTTTTACTGCTTCTAAGAAGGTGTATGCAGACAAGTTACTGAACATACTAGACCCTAAAAAGCAACTGGTCAGGTAAATTTAATTAAATAGTGGAAATGTCTGTCACACGGATCTATGAGATTATTATGGTTCTATTTAATTTTAATAGCCATTATAAGTTGGCTACATATATAGAGGTATGTTGTGTTGAATGGTGAGAATAAATGAATTTTTTTTTGCCTAAGAACTCTTAAAGAGTTCTCAGTGATAACTCCAGACAGACGTTCCTTAAAAGGATACAAAGATCAAATATGTTTATTCACTGTGACATCTGTATCCTTCATTTCTTTTGGGCTTTGGGGGGAGGCTGGGTGTGTAGAATTTTTCATTGTGTGCATGATGTTTCCACCTCCTTATGTTTCTGAGATGATGCATGTTACATCACCTTTTTTTAATGGCTATAGAAAAATTAGAAAGCATCAAATCAAACTCGTTTGCATTTTTCAAGAGCAAATTTATCCTCCATGGAAAGAATATGTAACCTGAATAGTAATTAGAAATTACAAATAGTGAGATGATTCTGATCTGGACTCAGGTCCTTGTGTGTGCCCTGAGCCAGAAGATGGAATGTGTTCCTGGTTAGGTGGGAGTGCCGTGGATGATTTTAAAACAGTTTCAAAGTTAGTTCCATTAATTTTCTGTCAGCTGAAATGAGATATTAACAGTGTAGCATCCTCTAAGATGTAAGAATTAATCTTTGAGGTTTGTCTAGAGCTGAGAAAGATGCCACAAAAGGTTCGTTTAAAAACTTTAATGGCTGGATGTTAATTTTCTTACTTAATCCAAAGAATCAAAATTTGTCCTTGCAATCAGTTTCCATTGCATCTTTTATATAAACAAGCTGCAAACATGCAAACGAGAAATGGCATTTTCTATTCACAAAAGTTTACTACAATTTATGCCCATTTTACCTAAGTTTAATAAAAGTATACAGATAATTTTGCTCTGATGACTCCGTTCATTCTGAAGATTTCTGTTCAGCACCTCCAATATTCTGGGGAACAATGGTGAGCAACACAAAGCCCTTCCCTCTTGGAGCTTTCATTTTACTGGGGGACAGATCATAGTCATGCTATTTTAATACAGCATGAATTAACGTCCCTCTTTTAAACTATTTTTATAAAATCTAAACATCTGGGAGTTTTAAATTTGTTTTATCTAGTTATATTTTGAAAAACTTTAAAATAGTAGATTGAATTTGTTAGAATCCTATAGGGAATTATAGACAAAGAAATCCCTGTGATCTCTGAATCCATCAGTCCAAATGCAAATTTGTTAGCATGGAGGATCTGCTGTTAAAAGACTGGCAAAAGTAGTTTTTTTCTAAAATTGCAAGTACATGCTGTCGACCCTCAGATTCCTGAATAACTGGAGGGTGTTTAGTCTGATTTAATTAAAGTAATCACAGCATCCACAGACGTACCAGCTGGCTACTCTCGTGGTGAGTGTGCTGCTGTTGGGGAAGAGTCGTCCACAGTGACTGGCATGGGCATCCTGCGCCTGCCTCTCCAGTTTCCTCATATCACAGTATTTATAGAAGTAGGCCCAAACAGGACTTCCAATTATTTTGTCTACTCTTTTTTTTTTTCCCAGAGTAGGACTGTCTGTAAACCTTCCAAAGGCAGATGATCATCTGACTAAATTAAAGCATTCCTTAAAATTATAACAAGGGGGAAAGTACGTATGCTACATTTTGTCTGTTCTTAAAATTCTTCCTCTTTGCCATTTCCACCAGCACTATTACTTTTGGGTTTTTTTGGTCTTTTAAGGAGCCCTGGTGGCACAGTGGCGTAGTGGTTAAGAGTTCGGCTGCATCCCAAAAGGTCAGCAATTTGAATCCCCCAGGCACTCCTTGGAAACTCTGTGGGGCAGTTCTGCCCTGTCCGATAGGGTCGCTATGAGTCGGAATCGACTCGACGGCAGTGAGTGTTTTGGTTGGTGGCACAGTGGTTAAAAAGAACTCGGCTGCTAACTGAAAGGTTGGTGGTTGGAACCCACCAGCCACTCCATGGGAGAAAGATGTGACAGTCTGCTTCCATAAAGACTTACAGCCTTGGAAATCCTATGGGGCAGTTCTCCTCTGTCCTGTAGGGTTGCTGTGAGTCAGAATCAACTCGACAGCAGAGAGTCTGGTTTGGTTTGGGTTTTTTTGTTTGTTTGTTTTGTAGACCTATGGCAGATTTTGTGGTAGAAAATGCCCTTTTCTTGAAATTGCATAATTAAAAATAGAGGTATGAGTAGGCCTTAGCCCCTTAAAAATTTTAAGGTGAAAAAAAAATCTATATCAATGTCAATTCTTAATATTTTGAGTGCTAAAGTAAGATTACATAATCTACCATAGAATTTAATAAATACTATTATAAAACTTTCAATAGCTTTTTAAAGTGATACAGCATTTTTCTAATTAGTATCTAACATACTGGGAAACATCAGTTTACTTTCACAATACTTAAATCTGAATTCATCATTTCACTCAACCCTATCTTTCCAAATGATCACGCACACTCTAAATTAAGAGAAATAAGAGAGCTGGGGAAATATTGAAATGATGGAATGTTTTGGCCTCAGCACCTTTTCTCAAAAATATAAGAGACAGTAAAAATCATTTTTTAAAATGCCACCACAGAAACATTCCTTCTTACATTTTCTATTCTGGCATGTACAGGGATAGGGAGGCTGTGTGCTCTACTGGTTAGAGCAGAGGCCTGGGAGCCAGGAGGATCCTGGGTTCCAATGCGGGGCTAACCACTGACTTACTGTGTGACCTTGGGCAAGTCACTTGACCTCCTTGTGCCTCAGCCAACTGGAAAATTGGTTAAAAAGCAGGACCTCGCTGACAACCAGATGCTGCATCTGAGCTGAGCTTTCCTGGGTAAATAAATTACCAAAAAAATTTATAGAATTTTTAATCCCTCTTTATAATTTAACATAACATTTTGGAAATAAACCAAAGTTCTTTAAGGCATGGTAATATTTGGTTGTAAGGTTTAAATAATTGCTAAGAATTTTTATAGTAAAAGATGTAGCCCAAAGCTTAGGCCCATATTTGTATTTATTTCTTTAATGAGAGAAAAGGCTTAACCTGTAAAGGCTCTGATGTGTGTATGTTTCAGTATATGTTGTACTTTTTAGAGATTTTTAAAAATTAATTTGTTTTTATTTTTATGTTTAGGCATCGACTTTTCCGTGAACATTGTGTTTGTGTACAAGGAAACTACATAAAGGACTTAAATATCCTTGGAAGAGATCTTTCAAAAACTATAATAATTGACAACTCACCGCAGGCCTTTGCATATCAGGTAGGAAGAGAGTTGCTTTACAAACGCAGGTTGGAACACATACAGTGAGGACAAATGCTGCCAAACACAATGTGATGGGAGAAGAACAGGATTTTTACTGCTGGAATTTCGGTTTAGTGTCATCTTTTAGAATTCAAGATCTGTTACTGGATTAATTAGAAATGCCAAATTGATATAACCCTTGTGGAAATTTTACTTCTAAATGAAGTACAACTTACATGAAGAAAGTCCGAGTAGTAAGTCTGAGGAAGAAGGAACTGAGATATACTACTTCCTCCAGCAGCGTTCTTATCAGTTATCAGTAGTTTAATCATAAACATGTTTGAGAATTAGAAATAGCTTAACCATGTTATGCTCTGGTCTGTTTATTTGATTTGACCTTCTGAAATGTTTTCTTTATAAACAGACAATTTCTTCAATATATTTGTACCCTTTGTTAATTTTTTTGAAATATAACTGTAACAGAGATGAGCCATCCTTACAAGATAGACTGTATATTATATAAATACGTTCATGTGCTGTCATGTTTGGGATTTGCTTCAAAATGTATCAGTGCAGAATGGGGGTGGTGGTGGAAAGTGGGTTGAGGTGTAGATGAACTAGATTGGCCCTTAGCTTCTGTGTGTTTCAAAATGTCACTAATGAACAGTACAAAAGGAGAAAAATACATATGTTATTGAAATATGTTCAATTTAGGTCACCGCTTTTATTTGCTTGCATTTTGAAATAACCTGTTTTTAGAATTTCATCTTGGTTCCTAGATAAAATGCTTTCCAGTAGATTTGTTTACTCTGGACTCGTCTTCAGTGAAATACCATTGAGTCACTTTGTTAAGTTCCTACTGTGTTTCAGGTTATCATACCAGTTGTTGTGAAAGTGTATGCTTTCTGACAGTCTGAATGTTCTGTTTAGAGTAGCAATATCCTTTCATTCACAATGCCTAGCATTTTTGTACTAATAGCTAACTCTTTCTTGAATGAGTTGTTTTGATGAGTCCTTGTTTTGATGGAACTTTCTTCTTTAGTGTTATATGCACTTAGAAGAAACTGCACTGAAAAACGAAGCAGGGTTCCATGTATCCCTTCTGTCTCTTGCGCTGTTGAGTTGTCAGAGTACAGCAGCATAAACTCTGGTGACATTCCTGTTCAAAGGAACTTAGAGACCAGGGTTTTACTTTAACCTGTTTCTTTTGAAAACTTTTCCAAACAAGGCAAAATACAAATAAAAAGATTATTTAATTACTTATTTATCATTTTAGCTTTCTAATGGAATCCCTATAGAAAGCTGGTTTATGGATAAAAACGACAATGAACTCCTAAAACTGATTCCATTTCTGGAGAAGCTTGTAGAACTGGTATGTCTGTCATTTGTTTTTTCCTCTTGTGTTTTTCTTAGCTCAAGAAATCTCCTGTTTTAATTGCTTCACTTTATGTGCACTAAGTCAGTTGTGGTGGGAGATTAAGGGAAATGTTGAAAAGATACATGCATTTTTGAACCTTATAAATTACACTGAACTTGTGCTTATAAGTATTTAAAATTTCACAACTTGAATGTTTTTACTGTTGCATTTCAGTGGGTTTCCTCCTACAAGTCACTAACCAGTTGTGTTAGAAATTGCATAAAATTGTTTTCATTGTCAGGTCTAGAATTAATGCTCATGCTACTGAAACTTTATTCTGGAAATTTCTTCCCTGTATTCATGGGTCAGTCAGTTTTAAGACTGATGTATAACGTAGAAGTGAGTGGCTTAATCTTTTTACATATTAACTGTTTCGGTGTAGTATCTTTATATTTGGCAAACAAAAATAATACAAGTTTTAAAATAAAATAGTGGTATGTTTTCTCTGCAAACTAAGAATGTTCATAATATTATGAGGATGATATCTTTGAAATGGTGTAACTTTTAAAAACATTCTCTTTTTTCCATACAGAATGAAGATGTCCGACCTCACATCAGAGACAGATTTCGCTTGCATGATTTGCTGCCCCCAGATTAAATACAAAGACTTGTCAGATCACTGAAGGGGGAGAGGATGCAGGACCCTTTTGGACTAAGACAAAAACATTGCCATTACTGTTGAAATTTTGCATTTTTGTACCCCGTCTTGCTTTTCTTATCTTTGGTGCCCAATAATAATCAAGGGTTACAGAGAGAGACTTCATCTGTCTCAGATTGAATACATACAGTAGGTAGGCTAAAACAGAAGAGTCTTTAGAACTAGTGCAACTCCAGTGAAATTTTTTTATGTCCAGGACATCTGCAGTTTATAAAGAATTCTGTTTCTGCCACCAGCAGTCTGACCTGTAGTCACACAGGATTTTATGATAATAACAGAGATGAAAATGGACTTTGGTTTTTCTCTCTGTTTGGTGCTCTAAGTGGGTTTGTAGCCACTTTTCTGTTACTTTAAGATTCTCATTTCAACAGGAATGGCCAGTAAAAGTTGTTTTATTTTTCCTGTTAAGGTTTATAACCTTTTTACATTTTTGACCTGTATTAGATTAGAACCTCATTATGCATTCCTTTTAGTTGAGGCGCTTCATAGTTTTCTGGAAATAGTCAATTTTTAGTTTTTTATTATACATTTGAATGGCCGTTTTCCTGCTTTGTCTGCCTGCATATTGTATATTTGTTTAAAAATATTCTCTACTTTTAGTCCATGTAAGTTTCATTTAGAAAGACATGCATTTATATTTTGTTTCTGTAATATTCTACTGTAGGTGAAATCTTTTCAAAAATCAAGAGACTGGGTAGATAAGAATATATGAATGACTAATATTCAAAAGATTTAAACCATTGTGATAGCATGTATTCCAAATGGTAATATCTTGCAGTGGCACACAGAGTTAATGGATAAAGGTATACCTCAGATTTCACTGTGCTCACCAATCTTTAAGGGGATGGAGTTTGGTCAACTCTTGGGCTTGATTTGGTTACTGCTGCCTTTGGTTTTCTCCAGGAATGAAGTATTCAGCACAGTGACTCAGTATTTTTAGTTGTTTTGCATGGGCTGGTAGTACCTCTGTTATACTCTTGGTTACAATCAATTTAAAACTCTGTATAACAGTCTTGGTACCTAACAGTAGCTATGCATAATCCTGTGGCACAGTACACTCCCAAGCCACCAGTGCAGTTAGTACGCTCTCATAGTGGTTTTCTATGCTCTATGAAAATAGTCTTCAAGCCTTGGTTCTCTAATGCAGCTACCATAAGAGGTTGATATTTTTATAGTGGTGTGTAATCTCCTTTTCGGGAGGCTTTTTATGGAAGGTAGAATTTGTAAAAGTTAGTATGCTTTGCCTCACAACTGCATTAACATGCCACAGGCTCAGACTGTTTTTGTGTAAAGGATGTCAAAGAACGGCACTTTTTCTAAAGAGAAGTTTGATATTTTGTATGCTTGTTAAGAAAGTACAGTATTGGAAATTAAAGGTGGACAACTGATAATTGAGGAGTATGTCAATTAATTTTTTATGTATATTACCTGTTTACTTGTACAACTTTATTGTACAAATTACATGCAGCTTCATTTTCAAATGAGTCCTTAAAATAAGGAAATCTTTTTAGGAAAACATTTAATTTTTGTATTTTTGATTTTAAAGGCATGAGTTATGTCAATTTTCAGTGTATTAATGAAGATTTTAACTTTTCATCAGGTTGAGTGTTTTCTTACTATATTATCTGTTGTGTATGTAGTTAGCATATTGTGTCACTGAACTGTTTAAAAATTTAGCATGTAGAGCAAGCCTGTTTTGTGGAAAATCCTTATTCATTAAAAAAGTAATCATGGCAGATTTTCTGCAAAAAAAAAAGAAAAGCAAAAGCATTTGCAATTCAGAATACTG